ATTACGAATGTAATTTAAAAAAAAGCAGTGGGGGTGGAGGATGGGGGTCCTGCTGGTGGTGGTTCTTCTGTGCTCTCCTGGCCAGGGAGCATCTGCAGGGAGGCTGGGGTGAGGGATCAGAGGGGAAACCTCTATCGGAAAAATCGCATCCCACACTGGAATTACACCTTTGGCTCGGCTGAAGGACGGCCGGGAAGCGGAGGGATTATCTCCTGCTAAATACCTGCCGAATGAATAAGCTCCTGGTCCCGGGGCGATAGCGATCGGGGTGACGTGAGGGTGGTGCTGGGCTCGGAAACACCTTGCTCGTGCCAAGCAGAGACATTTTCTCCAGAGGAGGAGGAGGAGGAGGATGAGCTCACCTGGATTTTATTCCCCTCCCAGCCCAGCTTTTGCTCTCTCCCCCCTCGGGAGGTAATTTTAACCGAGGGAGACTGGCCCTGGCGATGGAGCGCCGACAGACGGACGGATGGACGGCTGCCGTGCTTCAGGTCTGGCTGGTGGAAGGAGGAGAAACGCCGTCTCCATTGCCCCCTTCCTCTTTTTTGACAGCTGCCGAGGGGGTCTGGTCCTGGATGGGGAGGACGAGGGGTGGGAGGGATTCGGTGGCTCGTCCCTGCCCTGCACGTGTCCCCCCTTGCCTGTGCAAGTCCCGAAAATACCCCTGCCCCTCGGGGGTGCTCCGGCACCGGCGCGGAGCCCCTCAAAGGACTGATCCTGGCTGGCTTTAATCTTTAATAGGGAAAGGGGATGTGCCCGTTGGGTTTTTGTTTTCTTCCACCCAAAGCCATGAGCATCCCAGAGGGAACACGTTGGGGAGTGAGCACAAGGAGCCTTTCGCCCTCCTCAAAATCGGAAATTTTAAATGCAGGAGGGGAAACGGAGGCAGGCAGGGTAGGTGGGAGCCTGGGGAGGAAGAGCAGCAAAGTTCAGCTTGTTCAGGGGTTTTTGAGAACTCTGGGATACGGGATGTTTGTTTCCCGCCGGGATCAGCTGCCAGATGGGTTGAGTGGTGGAGTCGGCAGCTCTCGAGCTGGTGGACACCTGAACCACAATGGGGTTTTTTTCTGGACCTTGGGCTGGGAGCGGCCGATTGCATGGGCTGACGGCGGAGGGACCGCTCGGGAGGCTGGAAGACAATCCTGGGGAGACCAGCAGCGATCCCACTCCCGGCTCTTCCAGACCAGCTGGAAAGACCAGCTTCAGGGAAGACCTTGGATCCTCCCTGGTGGGGCCCGTGGGCTTTAAGGGATCACCACCTCCTGCCAATCCAGGGCTGTGGCATCCCCTTGCCCACCCCCAGGCAGTTCCGAGCATCCTCATCCGTACGGGCAGGGGCTGGTGCTGTGCCATGAAGTGCTTTAGCAGGAGCTCCCCGGGGAGAGTTTAACCTCGTTAGCAAATCCTATAATTCACGGCTCTAAATAAAAGGTCTCCTTGTCAGCAGCGACGTTGGATGCTCTGGTGGACTCAGGGCTGCTGGAGGGGCCCTGGGGCAGGGAGGTGAATTTTTTGGGCACTTGCAAAGTGGCCCCAGGTGTGTCTGGTTTGGCCAGTGATTGCCCCAAGCCCTCTGGTTTAATTGCTCCCTCCTCCAGCAAATGGTGGAGGTAGGAGAAAGCAGAGCTGCTTTGGCTGGAGATGTGGCACTGGGATGGAGCCATCCCTGATCATCCCGGGGCATCCCTGGGGAGAAGTACCCAGCCTCTACCATGGGAGAGAGCATCGGAGACACTCGGTGGTTTCCTTCCCTGTCCCTTGCACGGGGACGTACCCTCTTTGGTAAAATTAATGGGGCATTAAGAGCAAAGTGTGGCTTGGGGAGGGCTTGCACTGGCTCGTGGCGCCCAGCATCTCCCACATTTGCTTTTCCCAGCTGGAGGAGATGAAGAGGGGTAAGGAAACCTCCTGCCCTTTGGTTTCCCTTTGGAAATGTCTTTGCTGCCTGGGCTCGCCCACCGGCTGCAGAGAGCGCCTTGCTGGTCCTGTCCTGGCCACCCTTCCCCGTCTGCTTTGCCTTCCCTGCTCCGAACGGGGCTGAGGTTGCTCCTTGCCTGGTTTTGGGGGGAGAGCTGTGACTCCCACCATCCCCCATCCATCCCACCGGCACAGAGGGAAGAGCAAAGCTGCTAGGTGAGACAGCAACGGGCTCGTTTTCCCCCTTTACCCCACCTGGCTGCTCGTTAGCTGAGCTAATTAAGCTGGATGCGGAGCAGCTGCCCTTACAGAGAGGCTTTTCTTGGAGAGGCAGGGTGGCAGGAGGGTTTCTGTGCTCCTTGGTAGGGCTTTCCCTTCCCCAAATCATGGGGCTATTCATTCCAGTGCTGGGCAAGGATGTGTGATTTGGAAAGTTTTGGGGGAAGAGATGCTGGAGGCATGGGATTGAGGAGCGTCCTCCGCCCGGGAAGGTGGGAGAGCTGCGGAGCATCCCAGGATGAGCAGGGCTGCATCCCCCTTTCCCCGGGGGAATCACCAGCTTCCTAAAAATCCGAGTGAGTCATGGAAGGGGATTTTGGTGGGGAAGGCCAGGAAGCATTTTGGAAACCTGCGGTGAGGTTGGGGCTCTGAACCACCACGCCTCCTCCTTAAAAGCAGCTGGAGGCCCGGCCCCGGGTGCTGCCGGCACCGGAGGAGGTGGGCGGCTTGGCGGAGGGCAGGCATCCTCCGCAGGAGCGATGGCTGATGGCCGCTAAGCGAAGCATCCCTGCCGCGCCGCCGGGGCGGCTTGCCGTAGCCCTAAGGATGTTCTCCCTTTTGCCTTTGCCAGGGGAAGAGAGGATGGCCTCGTAGATCCCGCCGAGCTCCTGCCTGCTCTGCCTGGACCAAGAGGACGGACCGTAAGTGCCCTCCAGCTTATCGCCACCCCGATGGGGACCGGCTCCAGCCTCTCCTGCTGCCGGGGATGCTGGAAAAGGTCTCCCCGAGACGGGCATCCTCCTCCCGGCGTGGCTCATGGGGTTAATGGGGCATCGAGGCGATGCTGGGGGTGCAAAGTGAGGGGGTGGGGGAGATGCATGAGAGCACTGGTGTAGGGCAGGGGGGTAAATCCATCTGTCTGCTTCACCCCGGAGGTTTTTGGGGCTGGAGGCCTCGAGGGTGGGGTTACCCTAGCAGTCATGCTCCCCAAAACCACCCCAGTTTGCGTCTGCGAAAGAGGAGGAAACGGTGGGGGAACCGCAGGGCTGCTGTGGCAGGGGGAGGTTTAAGGTGGCACTTGGAGCCTTGCAAAGGGGATGGTGACGGGGCAGGTGGCTTTGGAGCCCCCAGAAGGGGACCCCTGTAGTCAAAAGCCGCTGGGGACGGTAGCTGCCTGCGGGATAACTCACCCCTGGGGATTGAGATCCCTTAATTTTGGGAAATCTCCACCTTTGCCTGGAGAGGTGGGGTTGAATCTGGGCATTGCTTGGGTTTGGGTTGGAGGTGGGCTGGAGCATCTTGATGGTTTTAATTTTTTTTTTTTTTTTTTTTTTTTTTTTTCATTTACCTCCCTGGACTGTTCACATCCCTGCTATAAGGGAGTGAGTGCTCCCCACAGATGCTTTGCCCGCGGGTCCTGGGGGAGCAGGCAGTGGGGCCAGGCTGCCTGCGCCCCAAGATGGCTTCCTTCCGCTTTCTGTGCTGTTTCGGAGGGGGGTTAGACCGAGGCACGGGTGCAAAGTGGTGTTGCCAAAGCCGCTCTCACTGTTGCCACTCACATTCCTGGGCAGTCCCCAAGGGTGGAGATGCCAGCGAGCACAGACAGCAGCGAGGTGATGTGGTGGCAAACGGGGACCGGCTGGGGCAGGTAGGAGGAAGAGGGGGCTGAACCCGTGCCGGGGCTCTCCAAGCTGGGTGGGGAAATCCCATGGGTGTAAAATTGCCACTGGTAGGTGCCCACCCTCGTCTCATTAGTGTGGGGTTGCTGCCCATGGGTGGCTCAGCTCTCCCCCAGCAGCCCGGCTATGACCTCTGGGTTATAGCGAACAGCACCCGGCAAAAAGGTCCTTTATTTTATTTTCTTTTAAATAGGAAAAGAGCAATTAAACCTATCTAATATGTAAATAATAATATATAACCTGTAGTAACATAGCCTAACGCCCCGAGGAGGAGCTCTGTAGCTCCTTCCATGGCACGGGGTTACCCTGGAGGCGTGGGATGCTCGGGTATGCCCATGCAGCTGGCATTTTGGGGCTGTAGGAAGGGGTTTGGGTCCCATCCCCGTGTTTTTCCTGCTGCAAGGATTAAAAAGAAAAATAGAGGGAGAGGAGAGGATGGCGGCAGTGCCGGCCTGAGTCGGACTCCAGCTCCCGAGCGCGTTAAAGCCAGCAGCGCCGTGGCAAGGCAGGAGCAGCCTGGATTTATTCCGGGGACCTGCTGCTGTGGCAATACTGGTCCTGCCTGAGTTTATTTGCTGTTGCCACCTCTAAAATTGCACCTTCCTCATGGGTAAAGATGTTGTTAAGGCTTACGTGCTAATGAGGGTGGTGGTTTTATTTTTTATTTTTTTTTCCCCTATCTAAAATCTTTGGCCGGGTCACTGTATGCCTGGGATACCACGGGCTAAGGAAACAACGCTGCCTCTCCTATTAAGAGGCAATTAAGATGCCTTTAGCAATTAAGATTCCTTTAAAGTGACTCGCCAGGGCTCTTAAAATAGAATAAATGTGAGTATGGGCAGCACGGGCCGGCTCTCCACGCCCTCGATGGGGCGAGCAGGATTGATTCCTGCAGTGCTGCGTCCCAGCGACCGCCCGCATCCCCCAGCGCTTGTAGGTCGTGCTCTTGCAGTTGCTCTGCCCTGCGCTTTTTTGGCTGGTGCAGCATCCCGCCCCAGTCCCCCACAGCATCCCTTGGCGGGGGGATCTGATCCAGACCCTCCCACCTTTCGGGCTCGCAGTGTTGGTTCCTTGCAATCCCCCAAGTTTTTTTTCTCCCTGCCGTGGGTCCCTGTTTCCTTCCCAGCTTGGAAAAAAAAATAATAAAATAAAAATCCCCCAGCACCTGGAGCTCGCAGCAGCCAGAGCGAGGAAGCTTTGGGATGCCAGGCTGAGGATTTGGGTACCTTTGATGCTCTGCCAAGCCCAGGCAGTGCCTCGAGTTGGCCGGATCGTTTCCCTGGAGGATCGCCCCCGGCCGCCTCCCAGGTTGCGTTCAGGCTCCGGCATGGGATGGTTTTGCTGAGGCAGGAGGCAGCTGAGCCGGCGCGGGGGGTACGCCGGCATCTGCCGGGCTCCTCTGGCAATCCCAGCCCTACCGCGTGGAGAAAACCCGTGGGATGGGGGTTTGGAAGATCCTGGGGCTGTAAACTGCTCCCTTGGGGTTGATCCTGGGGGTTGTCCTCAAAATGGAATGCAGGATCCATCCCGCTGGTCCCCGTGTGCCTCAGAGGCTCGGGAGAGATGGTCCGGCTGGAGGCGGAGGGGTCTGTGCTGTCCTGGCTGTCTGTCCATCTCCCTTCGATTCCCACTGCTGGGAGTGAATCCCTAGGGAATGCTGGTGCGTCCCTTCCTCGGCCTTCATAGTCCAGCTCTGCTCCAGTTAAAAATAAATGCATGTTTTTTTGGGGTGAACCATCGGAGATGCTCGTTCTCTGATGAGCATCCTTCTCACCCGGGGGAGCTGGACCAGGCAGCGGGCAGCTCCGTGCCCCACGGATGTGTGGGATGGGATGGGATGGTGGGAGCATGGGAGAGGTGTCCTTGCCGTTTTCCCAATCTGTGGGTTACCTTGGAAACATAAAAGCATGGAGAGCTCTTGCTGCGTGGCCTGCTGGTCCATGGATGCTTTGCTGGGATGGCAGCGGGTGGCTGGGATCATCGTCCACCCACGCTGGGATGGGGTGGGGGGGTTCATAATCTCCCCCCACCTTTGTGCTTGCTCCATGACTTGAAATGTTTTGGGGTTTTCTGGGGTTTTTTTTGTTTCCACCCCACCCCCTGCCAAATGTGGGCTGGGAACAGCTTGGCCGGAGCCCGCTGCTGCTTTATGGATTGACAGGATTTAAATCTGGAGACGCCGGCTCCGGCTGGAGCCGTCGAGGCCATGGGGGGAGATGGGGATGGGGATGGATGGAGGTGGAGGGACGGGCTCCTCTCGGGTCCCCCGCGCAGCAGGCTCGGTCCCCGCGGGCATTGCTGGCATCTCCCAAGGGCTTTCCTGGGATGTGGTGAAACTGGGAGGCGAAACCTTGCTCCGGATCCGAGGGGAGAGGGGGGAACTGGGCGAGGAGCTTGGGGCTTTCCCATGACGCCAGGCTGGGGAAGGGGGGACCTGGCTGCGAAGGTGGGGCGGCAGCGGGGCTTTTAAGTAATTTTGGCAGCGATAATGCTCAGCCTGGGGGCGCTTAGGGGGGCGTTCTCAGACATCAAAGAGAGGGGCTTTTTTGGTTGCTGCTTCCAGGTGTGGGGAGCTGAATCCACCCGGGACTTTCCCCCCCTGCCAGCTCCGGGGCTTGGCAGGGAGGTGATGGGGGGGCAGGGATGCTGCGGGACCAGGGATGCTTTGGGGACCCGCCGGAGCCTTTAGCATCGCTCCCTCTGCCGGCTCGGCGTCCCCGGGGCGGAGGGAGCTGGCTCTGGGGACTCGCCTCTTCCTCCTTTAAGCAGCCGTTCTGGTTTGGGCTGGGGTAGCAGAAATTTGGGGGGAGCTTGAATTCATTCCGAAGGCGCCTCCGCCTTGGCCTGGGCACGGGGGGAGCCTGGGGGTGCGCTTGTTTTGCTCCGCATTCCCTGAACGCTTGAACGCTTGGCCAAACAGCCTTTGTTTTCCTTGGGTTTATTAACTGTGTGTCTCTTAAATGCATCAGGCCAAGCTTGTGTGGACAAGCCTGAGAAAAGATCATAAAGCCTTGAAAAAAAAATAGAATAGGCGTTTTAAAAAAAACAAAAAAAAAAGCTGGTACGTAAAAGCAAAGGGCAGCCTGGGGGTGCGCTTGTTTTGCTCCGCATTCCCTGAACGCTTGGCCAAACAGCCTTTGTTTTCCTTGGGTTTATTAACTGTGTGTCTCTTAAATGCATCGGGCCAAGCTTGTGTGGACAAGCCTGAGAAAAGATCATAAAGCCTTGAAAAAAAAATAGAATAGGCGTTTTAAAAAAAACAAAAAAAAAAGCTGGTACGTAAAAGCAAACACCGGGGGGGGGGAGCGGATTTTCCCAGTGCCTTAAAGCCACAGGGAAGCGTGCTCGGTGCTTGATTTGGCGCTGAAGAACAGAGCTGGGGGCTGAATTTGGTGCTAAATTCGGGTCCTGATGCCCGGCAGCACCCCAGCCCTGGGCGAACGGGGGTGCTCAGGCCCCCAGGGAGCATTGCCAGCCTCCAGCTGCGGATTTCTCCTCGGGGACTTTCGTGGCCAATTTTGCTAGGGGAAAAAAAAAACCCAACCCAGGGAAACGCAAGCTGCTTTTTACTTTCTCCTAATTTTATTTCTTTCAAGCAAATGTAACATATGAAGGAGCGAGCCGACCCCCCCCCGGTCCCTGCCTGCTTCGACCTGGAAGATGCAATTGCGGGTTTAATCTTCCCGTTCCTTCCCAAGCCAGGAGGGACTCGCAGAGCCAGAAATCCCGAGGCAGGATGAGAGCCAGGGTGTAAATCGGGGAGAGGGGGGGCTTTTTCTTTCCTTACCTGGGGTCCCCAGGCGATGGTGGGGCTGAGCCCGGGCACGATTCACCGGGAAGGGTTTTGATATCCCTGTTTTATGGAGAAGTGGTTGTGGGGAGATGGGTGCTTTCCCACGGTACCACCTCCCCTGTCCCCGTCCCTCCGCGCTGCTCTCAAACGGATGCAGCTTTCTTTGCTGCGTATCCCGTCCCGTTGCTTGTAGCGTGCTTTAATTGCCCTTAATTCCCTTTTAATTGCTCTTTCCTGCCCTTTTAATTTCAGGAGCTGGTGGTGAGGAAGTGAAGAGCCTGGCTCTCGTGGGACCGTCTTTGGTCCTCTTTCTCCTCCCTCTTGATAAATTTTGCCCCAAAAGCCGCTGCTCTTGGCTCGTTCTTGGCTGGGCGTGGACGTGGCCCCATTGGGCAGCGGGTTCCAGGTTCATTAACGGCGCTTCGTTAGGCAGGGTGGGGTGCTGAGGTGGGTGCCCCCCCAGCAGGGTGGCTAATCCCGTGACACTGGGATTTCCGTCACCCAGCCCAGTTGCTCACCTTTCCTCTTGGCATTTAGCATGTCCGCACCCTCTCCTCCTCCGAGACGTGGCCGCTCCGGAGTGGGGAGCAGCTTGGGTTACGGGGTGGCAAAGCCAAGCCCAACCCTGAGCCAGGCTTAGAGTAGGATTCCTCCTGGGGGAGCAAAGTCTCCCGGGTACCCCAAAGCTTCTCCCAGATGGTAAGTTAATTTTCCATCCTTGCCATGTCCCGGGGCGGCTCCGACCACGGCTCTTTGCTGCCTTCTTCCAGGAGGGAGAGGTTTTGGAGGAAGCATAAAAAAGTCGCCCCGCTTCCCCGGCTGGCGCTTGCGCCCGCATTGAGTTTGCGGCATCGCCCTCTCCCCGCGCCGGGACGGTTGAATTGAAGGTGTTGGAGGTTCCCCAAGTGCTCTTTCTTTGATCCCGCTAGGCTGCCGCGGTGGCGGCGCGTTTGGCTTCGTACCTGCGGCGGCTGGTGCCAGTCGGGTGCTTGAGCCAGGGCTGGGCTTAAAAGCTCCCCCCAGGTCATCACCGTGGGCATCGATTTGGGCACTTTGGGATTTTGAGGTTAAAACCCCACCGGGGGCTTGTTCTTACTCTTTAATTCAGTTTTTCCTTTGGAATTTTGGCGTTGAACCCATATGGCCAAGGCTCCTTGGGAGCTGCAGGAAGACTCTGCATAAATCAAACCTTTGGTGGCTGCGGGGCAGAGAAATGTTAATTTAAATGGAAATAAATCCCTTGGGGAACCCTGGTACCCGCTCATCCACAGGTGCAGATGGGGCAAGCAGGGGGTGATGCCTCTTGGATGGGGTTTTTGGGTATGGCTCCGATGTGTTTTGAGCTCATCTGATGTTTTTCCCTCTTTTCCCATTCCAGGTGACCGGCGACAGCCGCGATGAGAGCTCCGGCCCTCGCCTGATGCCTCTCCTGCTGATAAAAATGATCAACAAGTCTCGTGAGTCCCACGGGGGGGAGTCCTGCCTCCCTCTTTCCAAGCAGGGGTGGGGAGCCCGGGGGGATTTGCTTTTGGAAACTCGGCTTTAGGGGTAGGACTCGGCTTTAGGCTGCGGCTCCGGCTGGGTGATGCAGCGTTGGAGCATGCTGGGCGAAGTCGCGGCAGGGAGGGTGATTTTGGGGTCCTTGATTCTCTGGGCTTGGGCACCCCGTAGCCCTTGGGCTTTGTGGTAGAAAAAATGGGGTGGAGGCACCGGGAAGAGGGATGAGTTTGTGCGGCCTTTGGTGCAAGGTGGGCAGGAGGAAATGGTGCCGTGGCTTTTGAACCTGGAAAAAAACACAAACCTGGCTCCATCTTGGAGCCGCTCCTCGCAGGGGCACCGTGCCAGCCAGGCCCCCGCCACTCCCTGGGGAGAAGGCTTTGCCGGGGATGGCTCCGTAATCCTGGAGCTACCAGGACATCATCCCTGGGGGGCTGCAGGTCCCCAATATCCGATTATCCAAACGCCGGGAACCGGCTTGACGGTGTTTTTCTTTTCCCCCTGCTCTCTGGGCACGCAGGAGGGAAGATACTCGGGGTGCTGGCGCTGTTTCTGGTGATGGTTTGGTACTCGATCTACCGGGAAGACAGGTACACACAGCTGTGAGTGGCTTTTATTAAAGTTTAAAGGACCTCCTGCCCTTTCCTTTGCTCGGGAGGCGGCATCCCCCCACCCAGCCCACCCAGGGATGCTGGAGCATCGTCTGGATCCTGGGGGGCTGGAGAGATGGCCCCCCGCTCCCTTCCCAGTCCCGCGATGCTGACGGGGAATGTGGAGAGCGTGAGGTCTATGAGCAGCGCAAGGGAGACCTCTTCTGATGCGAGGCTGCAAGCCCAGCAATTAAACACCCAAAGCAGAGCTGACCTTAAGTCTGGCTGGTGATATCCCTGGCATGGCTTAAACCCCACCACGGCGGTGCCGGAGCCCCCTTTGCCAGGAGGGGGATGCAGAGGAGCAGGCATCATAGGTTTTTTGGAGTTTTTTGGTTTTGTTTTTGTTTTTTTTAAACCTTGTTGATGTTGACACAAAAGTAAAGGCATTTTCCCTGGTATGTTATTGATAGAACTCCAACATCATCAGAGTATGTAGTGAAGATGATGATATCGTTGTATGCATTGCTAAATTGTTTAAAATTCAGAAAGATGCAAATCCTATAGAACATGCCGCCCCCCTCGGTCTCACCGGCCCTTTCCTCCTCGGCAGCTACACGAGGGACCACCCGCTCTTCTTGCAGCTGAAGGACTATTTTTGGGTGAAGACGCCGTCGCTCTATGAGCTGCCCTACGGCACGAAAGGAAGCGGTAAGCCTCAGCAGCGCTCGCCGTTGATTTCTGTCTGTCCATCTGTCCGTCCTTCTTAAGAACACCTGCAGGTTGATTTTTTTTTTTTGGGGGGGGGGATGATGATGATGACTCTATTTTCTTTTTTCCTCCTCCCTAGCAAGTTGTTTGCTTGATTTGTGGACTTTGCGGTGCGCATCTGCTTGCCCTGGGTGCATGTGGTCCCTATAGAAGAGTTTAGGCTGGGCCAGGCTTTACTAAGCCCCAGGCAAGGATTATCTGCCCAGATCTGGGGGGAGCGGGGATGGGGCAGCACCCAGGGCGTTGCAGCAGGCAGGAGCTGCCTTGCTCACCTTCTCCTTGCCCTCGTTTTGCAGAAGACATCCTCCTGCGCCTGCTGTCGATCACCCACTACTCCCTGCCCGAGAGCATCCAGAGGTAACACCGGGGTGGGTTTGGGGCTTTTCCGTCTTTCTCTTCATCGTTGCTGTCTTTGGGAGGGGGAAAACTTACACAATGTGGGCCTAAGACTTGGCAAAATGAACCTCTGCCACCCAGGGATGGTGGATGGAGTGTGGGAAGCTTTGCAGAGTGGACGACGCAGGGTTAAACCCCTCCTTGGGGGTTAAAACCACCTTGGTTTTAGAGCAGGTCTGGCTGAGATGGGGTTTTTCTCTCGCAGTCTGAAGTGCCGGAGGTGCGCGGTGGTGGGCAACGGCCACCGGCTCCGCAACAGCTCCATGGGGGAGACCATCAACACGTACGACGTTGTGATCAGGTACAGCCCTGGGTCCATCCTGTTGACCCCTCCCCAGTGCCACCTGCAGGTGGGGCTGAGGCCCATGATGTCCCTGTGTCCCCCCTCCAAGGCTGAACAACGCCCCAGTCCATGGTTACGAGCAGGACGTGGGCTCCAAGACCACCATGCGCCTCTTCTACCCCGAGTCGGCCCACTTTGACCCCCGGACGGAGAACAACCCCGACACGTTGCTGGTGCTGGTGCCTTTCAAGCCCATGGACTTCCAGTGGATGGAGGCCATCCTCAACGACAAGAAGAGGGTAAGTGTGGTGGGGAACCAGGTCCAACCCCTCCCTGACTGCTCCAGGGTCCAAACCTCATCCCACCCCTCCCTGGGGACCTACAACTCTAACAGGGGCACCACCAGCCATCTCCGTCCTCTTTGCAGGTTCGGAAAGGGTTTTGGAAACAGCCTCCGTTGATCTGGGATGCCAACCCGGAGCGAGTGCGCATCCTCAACCCTTACTACATGGAAGTAACTGCTGCTAAACTGCTCAACCTCCCCATGAAGCAACCACGGAAGGTCAAACAGGTAAGGGGTGGGGATGGCCCGGGTGCCCTGCACCCCCCCGAGGGGTGGCATCCTCCCTCCTGGTCCCCCTGGCCAACCCCATGCAGCTTGCTCAAGGTCCCTGGCTCTTTGCACGTCTTCTCCTTCCCCCTCTCCCTCCAGAAGCCCACCACGGGGTTGTTGGCCATCACCTTGGCCCTGCACTTCTGCGACCTGGTGCACATCGCGGGCTTTGGCTACCCCGATTCGGCCAACAAGAAGCAGACCATTCACTACTACGAGCAGATCACGCTCAAGTCCATGGCGGTAAGTATCTACCCCCACTTTTTGCCCATGTTACCCCCATTTTGTCCTCCAGGATGGGGGATCACAGCCCAGGAGGGCAGCGCCCTACCCAGTTTGGTGACGCTGAGTGGGGCGGGAGGCTCTCCCTTCCACGCTGGGTGTGGAGGGTCCCCCTTTGGGTGGTCACGGTCCAGCTTCTCCCGTGTCCCTGTAGTCAGGGTGGAGCTGGACCTGGGTTACATGTGAGGAGAAGGGCTCGTGGCCAGGGGGTCATGTCCCTCCTTTTGGGGGGGCTCCTTGCTTTAGGTGAAGGCGTGGGGTCAACTCGACGCTGGGGGGTGGATGAGGTGGAGGGGCTGGGAGGGAGTGGAAGGAAAAGGGGTGGTGGCCCCTCGCTGGGCTCCGGTGTCACCCCCTGCTCCCTGTCCCCCAGGCCTCGGAGCACAACGTCTCCCACGAGGCGGTGGCCATCAAGCGGATGCTGGAGCTGGGTCTCGTCAAGAACCTCACCTACTTCTGAGGCCACCGGGGCTGCGCAGGGACAGC